TACAGGGGACTGGGATGGCTATACATCTAGAACTGTTGTGTACTTTGAACAACCTCTGTTTTACAGGTTGTCTTGTAATGTCCAGTTTGATTGCACTTGCTGCAATGGACAGTATGCTTTTCGCGATTAAGATCTTCCACGCATAATCGCTTCTTTTCAGGTCGTCCAGGTGGGCGGCGGAACTTGGGTGGTCGGACTATTCGGGTTCTAGACCATTCAAGTTTATCAGGGATAGGGTGTACCTCTTTACTATAACTCTCGCGATAACTAGCTGCAGTGAAATATTTATCTGTGAAGGCATACACATCCTTTTTATATGATGTGAGAGCAGCAACGGCGTGAGAACATGGTATCCTATACAACTGCCAATCACGGCAAGAACAAGATCGAGTACCTGTATTCACGATGTCTGAACGCTCTGCTGAGATAACTTCAAATTCAACTTCATCCGACCTTAGCACTTGATATGTGGAAGCAAGAGTTCTTCCATCCATAATGCGTTTCTCAGCAGATGGAGAAAGGGTAGAACTCCATGTACTACTCCTTGATCGCCGAAGCTCAAACTCTTCTGTTAACTTACTGTGAATCCGTTTGATCACCTGAATAATAGGAAGCTCACGCGCCTCAAGAATCCATTTATTGAACTCATAAATGTTTGAAGAGAAATGACCATATCTTGTTCCGTCAAAATGTATTAATGCCCAGCGTGAAGGAGGATACTGCTGAAGCCATGTTGCTGCATCTGAAGAAACCTCCTCAATTTCAGCCATTTTCTCTTTAAACCCCCTGGTGGACGTGGAATACGCAGCTTTCCACAGGAGTTGCACAAGCCTTGAGTTCTTGAAATCTCTACTGATGCTTTCACTCAGATACTGCATACATATAGCATGACAACAAGAGAGAAACTGCCTTTTCACAGCATCTGCAATACTTTTCTGTCCATCAGACAGAAATGTAAGAGGTGGTATCTTCTCAGTGCTCATCTCTAGAGCTTTTCGCAACTCCAACAAGAACCACAGCCAGCTATCATCATTTTCTTCATCGACAACACCAAAAGCAAGCGGAAACACTCCACCATCACCATCAAAAGAAGTTGCTGATAGTAAAGTACCTAAGTATTTGCTCTTAAGCTGGATACCACCAAGACAAATAACAGGCAGGCAACCATTCAGGAACCCATGAAGAGAAGCATAAAAGGAAATGAAGAACCTCTGAAACCGGCTATCTGAACCAGCTGTAAAAACCTCGGCATGACTTCCAGGATTTGTCGTCTTGATTTGCTCACAATATGCAGGTAATAGACAGTACCCTTCTTCGGAAGATCCATATATAGCTTGCAGCCCTCTTTCCTTGGCTCTCCAAGCTTGTTTATATGGTATAGTTATACCATACTGTTTATAGATATCATGCAAAATGTCTTTTGGCTTGTAATTTATGTTATCACGCAACCGCTCCTCTATGAAGTTCACTATCCAATCAACAGAAGCCTGATGGTGTCCATTTTGTGCATTTTTCCCGCAAGTATGTGTTCCCTCGAGGCTTCTTATAGTAAAAGTAGGAGCATTGGGAAGCTTAATAGCACGAATACGCCATGGACAACCTTCTGAGGCACATTTTGCAATGTAGCGAATGAGGTCACTTTTTATGATGCGAAGCTCAAAATGTTGTGCAATAGCAGCCTCTTTAATTGCATTGCGGAAGGCCTTGACATCAGGAAACTCTTGGCCAACAAAGATGTTTTGATCCTCCATGAAATAGCAATTTATGAGATCGCCACTTTTAAATGGCTAAAGTCCCCAATTAACTTATTGAGAATTGACATGTGAAGGAACTGAAAAAGCAGCCAATGTATCCAAACCTGAATATTCAACAGGAAACTTCATTAGCATGGGCAAGCAGTTCGAAAATGCACAAATCTTTCACGAATCCTCTCAAACCTTGATCAGAAAAGACCAAAGGGTTAGATGTAGGGTGAAAAAGATCCGATACAAAATATTGCAACCATGCACACATAACAATGTGACTTCTGCTCGACCTAGTTACCAGGACACGTTAATGTCATCACCAACTGTTTCATAAGCACCACACATGCAGGTATAACAGCTGTTCAGGAAAATAATTCTTTTCCAAACAGCTTTCAGTAATCCGTGAATAAGCTCGTTTTAATACCCAAGCATCCATATGAACTATTCAGAAAAAGAACAATGCTTTTGTGTATAGGTTAACAGAAAACCAAATATCTGAACTTCTAAAACCCTGATAAACTTTTGTCGGGGTTGGGGGAGGGTGGGGTAGGTAGGTAAATGGTGTTCATCAGAAAGCAAGCCTAACAGAGAAATTAACCCATGTACAATACATATACATGACACCACAGAGATTTTTTTTTTCTAGAAATAAAAGTAATAGAACTCTACCATCAAGTTATAGTGGAATAGACCATTAACCTTATAAAACCAAAATTTCTTTTGAAAAAACAGACAGAGTCATCTCTTCGATCCTACCTTCATCCCCAAGTAATTCGTGGAAAATATAGTATTTGTGAACTACAAGAGTTCAGTGAGATTTGTTTCTTGATTATATCACCGAAATAGACAACCAAAAGAATCTTGAACAAGTTTACAAATATTAGAAACATTTAGGCAGATGAAGCAAACACTTGTAGTTGACGCTCCACAATCCCAGGGACCAGGGTTCTTAAGGAAATAGACAAAGGAAGGACTTACACCTATCAAGTCCTAGGTCATTAAAATTTACATCTCTGAAACCATCTTTCTGGGAAATATACAAGGTCATCAAAATTCATATCTCTGAAAAACCATCTTTCTGGGAAATATAGGCACTTACAGCCTTAGCCATGACTATGTAACAGCACTAAACATCACAATACCACTGTCTGAGATAAGGGAGATTTCAGTCAATAAATATATCAGTTTGACCTCTCTACTTTTCATGACCAGACAGAACTAAGCTATATGGCTTGCTGGCTAGGTCTTCATCCAATCTTAATATCTCATTAATTTTTATGAGCATTTATTATCAAATTATGTAGTAACAAAATGAAAAGTATAATTTTCAATAAGATAAAAATAAAAAAGAGCAGTTCCTTGGACATAATGCAAGAATTCCATTTGAAATCATAATATCATGTCTATTATTATCCACAAGTTGTCTATAAAGAGATCCCTGCGGAGTTTTGGAATAAATCAACTTTCTAGGCAGACTGGATTCTAAAAAGCAAACAAATGAAATACTTTATATGTCCAACTAAAAGTGAAAAATTGAAACTAAATACATTTTACTAGAAGCAAGCAAGAGAGTCATAAACCTGAACATAGAGTAAATAAAACAGGCTTGAGGTTATGACCTTTTGCGTAATCGCAATCATACAATACTCCCACTAAAGATCTTCCGGACATAAAATCTAGTTGAATAGAGAAATTATAATAGATTTTTTGCTTTATATATTTGCAACAATGTGGAATTTAATCTATAATGATAAACTGATGAATATTTCTACAATCAAAGAAAACAATCAAACTGCTAGTCCAACACACGCAGTAATATGTCCTACCTAATCCATTTGACACTCAGCTAGAGGTCTTCTAGTACAAACTCTTTTTTTTTTGTGATAACCAAGAAATTTGATGTCTCAAGCTTTGGAACTAGGTGGGTAATAGGTCCATCCCTCTACCTTTCTCAGGTTAACTACCACTCTTAATTCCCTATGAACTAGGTGGATAATAGGTCCATCCCTCTACCTTTCTCAGGTTAACTACCATCCTTAATCCCCTAACCATGCTCCGGGCTCGCGTCTACCACACATCTTGCACGAGCATTCACGGCATGAACAAACAAGGTATCTAACATTTCTTCATCGAAATTACTCACCTCTGTCAAACTCTAAGTGAATTGGTTTCCAGAGCCTTCCGCCAGTTATTTGGCGCTGGAACGCATCGAACCAAAACCTAGCGGCTCTTTGACTATGAACTTTAATCCTAAAGCTAACTCAAGTTTGTTTCAACGAAAAAAATCAGCTGCACAATGTATCCATAATGATTCAAATCACCTCCCCAACCCTGCCAATTCTAATTCTGTGTGAGCAACCACTCATCAAAAGTCAACCTAGATAAACTCTACACGACAGAAAAACATCATGGACTGATACTAATTACTGATAAAAACATTTCTAGAATACTACTGCTAACCATTGAACAATACAGAAAAGAAGAACCTTTCTAATATAATATCACTACTAAACGTGCGGCCTAGTGGTCAATGCAGCAACATGACGTCTTACGTTCAAATTCCAGCAAAGACAAAAACACTCGGTGATTTCTTCCCATTTGTTGTTTTAGCCTCCTGTTCCCGTGGGTCAAGGAGCTGGCTCGGAAAAAAATTAAGCATATATATACACAAAACTGCTAAATTCTCTGTAACTTAACAATTATACCACTATATACTCTAAAGAAACATCCAATTCCTCAATACAGAAATAAAAAAAATAGAGAATTGTACCCATGAAAAGAACATTTCCAATCGGAGATAATTCTAATTAATTTTAAAACTAATTTTATCGAGGAAAATAGTAAAGAATCCGGCAAAGTTGCAAGCTTTTACCTGAATCGGAGTAGTATCCGGCGGCTATGAGCTGAAAAACAGTAAATTGGCATGCGTCGGAGATTGATTTGGGGATTTCCGGTCACCGTTGCCGATTTTTTGAAACCCTAATTCGATGCTTCAACAGAGAAGGGGAAATATTTTATTAATTCTGTATAGAGACAAATTTGCCCTTAATATTTTAGTTTTGTCAATTTATGATCAAATATATCTATAAACCTTTTAAATTTATCAATAAATTTTAATATTTTGATAGTTTGACGTGAGCATATATAAATATTATTACAACAATTTAAGCAGACAACAGACTGTAAGTTCATTTACCAATTTACCCTTGTCTTTTTTTCCTTTTTTTGTGTGATTTCCATTTTTACAAAGTTCAAACCTTTTTCTCTTTGCCAGAGAGACAAATCAAGAATCAAAAGCTATTTGCTTTTATACCAAAAATAAAAAAAAATGGACTCAAAAATACAATCTTTTTCCTAATCCCAGATTTCCATTATTACAGAAATTTCAAAATAAAAAAAAAAGAAAAAGAGAGGAGTCAAATGGGAGAAGAAAGCACCTCAAATTCCAAGGCTGATGATAATAATAATGCAGCTAAAACTGATGGAAGCTATGAGACACCAGTTATATTGAATGTGTATGATCTCACACCTGCAAATCAGTACTCAGTTTGGCTTGGCTTTGGAATCTTTCATTCTGGTATTGAAGGTAAAAACAAAAGATTTGATCTTTTTGGAGAATTTCATTTTTTAAAATCTTGTTTTTTTTCTCCCTATGTTCTAGATTCTAACATAGATTTTGTTGTTTCTTTGATTTTGCTTGCTGTTGTTAGAATATAGATTTGTTATTGGATTGTTTGTTGTGGGGTTGTTACTTTTGAGCTTCTGAGAAGGGGGATTTTGGAGGGTGGGGGGTTGGGGTAAGGCTTTACCATATTCTTGAAAAAAAAGAAGAATTTGTTGTGGGGTTGGTTAGGGAGTTTTTGGATTATTAGCAAGATCTTTCTATTTGTTTGACCTTGAGTTTTGAGTTATTAGATGAAAATGTTAAGTAGGTGGTGTTTGTAAGTTTTCTTGATCTTGTTTGTTTCCTTGTGGTAATGGGGGTCTCGAGTTCGAAACTCTATGCATGCTTTCTCGGTGTGGTTTACCTCTTCTGTGGGGTTTGTGAGCTATTACACTTGAGTGGGGTTTACCTTGTGCGAACATGAAAGGTAACGGAAAAAATATGGAAGCTTTTGTTATCCACTGTTAAGGTCATGGTTGGATTTTAAGTCTGAATCAATTGTCACTGAAGTAGTAGGTGCGATGGGAACTTTGCCCCCACCGGCTTAAAACTTGCCCGATCTATCTCTGTTTAAGGAAGAGTTTATCTTATTGGTACAATGAAAATCTCAATGGTTCTTGGGTGCAAAACCCTTAAGCCCCAAAGGTGAGAAAAAGAGAACGGAAGAAAAAGATGTGAGGCTGACTTTCGTTATCAAAAATATTTATTTGAAAATGATTCTAAATAAGAGCACTCTTTATCTTTCTAATATCAAGTTGATGATGGCGCGTTTAGCTCATATCAGAGATGTGAGATCTTCGATACTCCCTCCGTTTTACGTCCCTTTTTAGTCCGTTTAAAAAGGAATGCCTCTTTCCTGTTTTGGTAACTCCTTAATTTCAGCTTCCACATGAATGATATGATATGTTTAATACCGCAAAGATTACAGTAAATTTGGGTACATTCAACATATCTTTACTCTTTCATTTAAATCCACAAATTTCAAAAGTCTTCTTTACTTTCTCAAATTTCGAAACAAATTGAAAAGGAGTACTACTTTCTTTGTCGTTGGGCCAAAAGAGAGAGGCTTGTAGATTTGCACAGATATAAGAGATTAGTGGGAGTCGTGTAATACGCGTGGTATTTAATGATTATCAACTTAGTGGGGAAGCATGAGGCCATAAATTTTGCAATGGTCATACGTAAGTGGATGCTGGGATTTTGTATGTCATTGTGAACGAATACGTGAGAGTAAAATGAATAGCTTATATATATTAGTTACTTGCTAACTGAGGAGCTCATGGAACGTTCAAAAGTAAACAACAGTTTACCAGTCAATGTAATGGATCTCGTCTGTTTTTCTTGTTAAACACCTCTCATTTCATTTTCCCCTACAATGTTCTGAAACGTTAAACTTCTGAGGGTCATGCTTGTACAATCATTACTGTCACAGGACAAAACGTTCTGTTAATATCATGTGTAGATATCTTATACCATTGCTTCACCTTCCCAGATTTTTGAGACATTGAAAATGTCGAGAACTACCAAAGATAGAACTATGGCACTTCTCTACCCCAACTAACATTTCCTAGATTCACCTGTCATATTAATGTTGTTACACATTAACTTCCAAATAATTATTACCCAGGAGATCCTGATTAAAAAAAAATTATGACCAGAGTTGCAAGACAGTAGATGCAACTTATTTTGCTCATACAGTCTGGGGTATTCAAGATAAGCCGTTTCTTTATGGAAGTTTTATTTTCAGCTTAATACTTGAAATAGTATAGTATGTCAACCGCTAAAATTTGTAGTCGTTGTGTTCAGGGATTACTGATCTGGTGTCCTAAATTATTTGTTAGATATCTATGAGCTTCCTATATCTTAAAAGTGGCATTTTCATACTAGTTTTGATAGAACTACTTAGTGAGACCTGAAGTTTCAGTTGTGTTAGGAAGATAAGAATTCTACAACCTTCTTCCTCTCTCTCTCCCCTTGTTGCTCCTTACCCAGACACTTTTCGCTCCACAACACACAAACTGTTAGTTTAGTTAGAGAGAGGAACCATATACTTCTTCCTGCATTGAGCCCTTTCTCCACCAGCACCTCATTTCTCTCTCTCCACACCGATTCCCATGGACTTTTGTCCCCCTTAAGTGTTACTATAGGATTTCATCCACGAAATGCCTGGGAGTCGTGCTCTTTCTCCACGGTAGTGGCATCCACATTCACTGCACCATGAGAAGGGGAGCCTTGGAAGTAAAGTTGTCTCTATGTGATCTATGAGTCGCGAGTTCGAATCGTGAAAGCAGCCATAATGCTTGCATTAGGATAGACTGTCTACATCACACCCCTAAATGCATGTCCCTTCCCTAGACCCTGTTAACGTGGATACTTTGTGCACAGGATGCCAGTGACATCATTGAGCTTTTACATTATCTTAGGATGGGTTGTTTGATGATAGGAGGTTAAATCATCACCTTCAATATTTGGAGCCATAAAAGTTCAAATAAGAAACATAAGAATTTTACATTGTAATTTTGCATCAAGAAAGTACATAAAACCCCATGGTGGTGTCTAGTATGATGAGATGAATCTCAAACTGGGCAAATTACTTGAGGAAGATTTGTTCACTTATTTGTCATCAAAAGAACTTAATTCTTCACTGGCTATGTTCTTTTCAAGAAAACGGAAGAAAATTTTCAACTTGGATAAACTCTTTAGGTTCTTTTGTATGTGGAGTATGCAATTTATAGAACTAAACACTTATTTGTCATCAAAAGAACTTAATTCTTCACTGGCTATGTTCTTTTCAAGAAAACGGAAGAAAATTTTCAACTTGGATAAACTCTTTAGGTTCTTTTGTATGTGGAGTATGCAATTTATAGAACTAACATATGCTGAATACATTCATATTAAGCTCTTCAATATAGTATATTGAATTACCTCTTGTTGATTGGAGTTTGAATTTGTTTTTGCTTTCTGCATATGCCAATTGAAAAAAAAAACAGTTCATGGTATGGAATATGGATATGGAGCGCATGACTTTCCCATAAGTGGCGTGTTTGAAGTGGAACCTAAGAGCTGCCCTGGTTTCATCTACAGATGTTCAGTCCCATTGGGTCGTATTAAGATGCCTCCTTCTGAATTTCATGCATTTCTTGAGGATGTGGCTTCTGAGTATCACGGGGATACGTATCACCTCATTTCAAAGAACTGTAACCATTTTACAGATGACATAGCACAGAGATTAACAGGGAAAGGGATACCTGGATGGGTGAATCGGCTTGCCAGGGTTGGTATGTATCCACAAAATTCATTTCCCTGCAATTTCTGAATGCCGTGTAATGATTTCTTTATTACTCTATTTGTTATGTCTGCTCTGCGTCTGTATGTTGTTATGAGTTACTTGAGTCCTGAGCCGAGGGTCTTTCAGAAACAACCTCTCTACCTCCACAAGTAGGGGTTAGGTTTGTACACACCCTACCCTACCCAGACCACACCTAGTGGGATTACACTGGGTATGTTGTTGTTATAAATTCAGTTTCGTTTAGTTTTCACTTTTTTTTGTCCACATTTATTGCTTCTTTGTGATATACTAGCATAAAGCTGCAGCGAGCAATTAGGTATATGATCTACCTAGGCATCTGAGGGTGTGTGGCAATTTACTAATTCTGAGATTTGCAGAAGGCACAATACTAAGACTCTTTATTTTGGTGCATCTGAAAATCTTGTCTTAATGTTGTTCTCTTCTCTAATTGACTTTTGTGAGATTCCCATGCTTGACATACATGCTAATGAACTCATCTATTTATTTCTGCAATTTGATGGAGTTAAACTCGTCCAATTTTTGTGAGCATGATATCTACAAACCATGTAAATAAAGGGGGATAAAATGCAATTTCATTATCCTTTTGTTTGGTTTGTCATAAAGATATATAGTGTCTCTACTTAATGGATGTGAGGTTTCTTACTGATCTTCGCTAGTGGCGTTAAGTCTTTTTGCTAAATAAAGATGTTTCATTGGCAACAAAATTTACACATTACCTTAAGTCTTCACAGCGGCGGAGCTAGGAATTCAAATAAGTGGATTCAAAAGAAATGTCCTACACCAACGGGATTCAACAACAATCATTTTTATCTATTTACAGAGTATAATTTTTCAACAAGAGGGTTCAATCCCCCCCCCCCAACCCGCCCTTGGTCTTGGATGTCCCTTTCATATTTTTGATAACCTCTCAATGCAATTACCATATATGGCGAGTCAATGACACGTATCTTAAAAGGTGTTGGTTTTTTTTAATTTCAGGTGCTTTCTGCAGTTGTCTTCTTCCTGAGAGCCTCCAAGCGACAACTGTTAAACAGCTTCCTGAGTATCACCATTGTACAGGTAACATGATACATATCCTTGTAATGATAAATAGAAAATGTAATAGCTATTCTGTGAATCAGTATTATTAAAAGCCATAGCTTTGTTACTTAAAACAATGAAGCGAGCGAATCAAGGGGATATCACTTTATGGATGAAGCCACGGGCTTCGTAAAAGTGTGTGCTTCAAACAATGACTTGCAAACTGATCCCTACAAGAGGTGGCCAGTTCATTCAATCTCATTTTTCAGGGGTTTCATTAGTATCAGTATTACTACATATTGGACATTGCAAGTAGTTATTCTAATTGCAATTTGATCATTCCAGTACGAAATTCATATATGTTCAGTCTGTTTTATGTCATGTAGGATTAGGGTAGAAGTTTAGTAAGTAGTCGAGTGTTGTCGCACTTTAGAAGGGAGAGGTAGGATGCTAGCCAAATCGCTTCCTTATTAGTAGTATTTAGTAATCATGTAGTTTCTTATTCTTCAATGTGTTTTACTATCTGTTATTTCACGTGCGTCTTATCTGGATATTTTTCTGTCATATTCTCTTCTTCCAACTCTACTATGATTTAACTTCTCTTATGAGCCGAGAGTCTAATAGAAATAGCCTCTCTACCCCCACAAAGGTAGGAGTAAGGTCTGCATACTAGACCCCACTTGTGGGGATTACGCTGGGTATGTTGTTGTTTTAGGTCGTGAAATGTGAATTGTGACCTTCACTTCAAGTTTCATGGATTTTGTTGTTTTCTTCCGCTTTTCACATTTCGAAACACTGCTTTGAATACATCAGCTGTAGATCTCTTATACATGTTCTCTCAATAACAACTCTTTCTTTTATCCAGAAGAAGATGGAAGTGGATCGATGACATCTACAACGCCCCATGAACCAACTGAAAGCGAAGACGGAGATCAAGATAAGCACTTGTTGTCATCTCCAATCAGTAGTCGTGAAGTGGCTTTCATAAGAGAGACTCAAAGGTGAAAACATGCTGCCTGAAGGGGATTCAATATGTATTATCGGTTTATTAAAGGCTATCGACTCGCCCCACAGAACCACTGCTCAAGTTCTCCATTTGCTTGCTATATGTATTACTAGTCCATTGATTTTCAAACCTTTTTTGCTTTTGGTTATTAAGGTTTCCTTTTAGTGTGCAATATGTATTAGTTCAAAGTGACAGGATTGTCATCTATTGAGTTATGCCTTTGTTACAGATCACAAATATCCATGTAAACATTCTGAGTTTGGAAGATGAAAACAGGCCAGTATTTGTGAAAAAATGAGATAACCATACATTTATTTAATACTACACCAGATACTCATTGAGGAAATGATCTCTTAAATTAGTTACAGTTTGAATAGAAATTTCGTAACTGTGGAGTGTTATCTTGCTTTTCGACGATTTAGATTTGGTGGCGCCTATTGCATATTAGTCTTATTCTTGTAATTTCGTGTGCTTTGATTATCACACTATATTTTTGTTGTGACTATTCCATTTCTGAATGAAACGAGGATACATCCATTGGAAACAATCTTTCTACTAAAGATAAAATTTGTGTACATTTTATCCTCTCCGGTCCTCACTTGTAGGATGTCATAGGGAATGTTGTTGTTGGTTTCTTGTGGCTGTATGAAAAAACAACTGCAATGCTATTTAATCAAAGCAACAGGGAGTTTTTTTGGCTTACATATACTACTAAATTGCCAAAGTAAATCATGTCAATGGACATAATTTTGTCTCTCATCAAATGGTATTTAAGAATAAACACCCAAAACATCGTTATCGTTGTGATTAGATAATACAGAAGTAGGCACAAAATGGCCGCTGAACAATGTAAAGACGCGACATATTAGAAGGTGAATCAGTCAATCTTCGCGTTTCTGCAAAATTTTTCAGTGCTGCTTCAACACATTAACAATGATAATGCTGATTCTCCATATTTGTGCAATGAAAGTTGCCCAACAGAAGTACAACTTATGATTTTCCCTCAAGTCCCAACTTTGAAGTTAGCCAACCACAAACTTCATCCATCTCCTCTGGAATTGTATAGTGGCCAAGTCTGTCAAACACAAGTCAAAGAGTCAGTGATGTTTCTAGTATCAAGGACGGAATAGTATCAGAACAGGTAGAAATAACATACGCGGTGTAGGATTTGAATGCCACATCTTGAAATCCGCATGAACGTAACTTCTGAGAAGACTTCTCACCATAGTTATATGGAACAACATCATCTCCTGAGTCGATGAAACGTAAATATATCAGGTAAGACTATTAGATAAGATCTAGCGCCAATACCACTCTTTGCAGAAACTGTCTTGCTATAAAAGGCACAGCAGCCAGATTATCATGTGATAGAACTCCCACCCCCCACCTCTCCCTGGTCCATAATAAAAACGAATAAAGAAAATAGAATAATTTTGCACGTTAACATTTGAAATAAGAAATGCAAAATCTGATAAATACACCTCTATTCATAAAAATTATTGGAAAGGAAAAGATTAGAGCTGGAAAGAAAATACTAGATCCTTGGGAAATGGTTATAGCAAGAAGGAAAAACTTTATTTTATCAGTTGAAAGAGTGCTTTTTTTTTGCGAGTCCAAAAGGAAGAAAGAGTGCTTGTGTTTGTGTCCATTAAGGGAAGAACAAAGAGAAACCTGTAGATATTATATATTTGTTTCCAAATTTTGATAGCACATTGTAGAGGACTAGAGTAAAAGCAATTTTTATATTTTTCTATATTTCCCTTCTATCAATTTCTTAAGGTCGTTGTTTTCCTTTCTAAATTGCTGGTCTCTCCTTATAAATAACAATCAGAAGTATCAATCAAAACAACAACATACCCACTAAAGTCCCACAGGTGGGGTCTGGTGAGGGTAGTGTGTACCCCTACCTTGTGAGGGCAGGGAGGTTGTTTGCGAAAGACCCTCAGCTCAAGCAGATATGAAAAGGAACCAGTAATAACAAGCCTTAACAGCAGGAAGATAACAAGATAAACAAAGTGAAACAAGCCTTAACAGCAGGAAGATAACAAGATAAACAAAGTGAAACAAGCCTTAACAGCAGGAGGTTGTTTAGCATGTACTCCTGCTCCCTCCCAGCTCTTTAGCGTCTCTGAGACTTTCCAGGGCATGGTCCAGGAGATGCCTTTGAGACTTGAAATATTCTCTATAGCTTAAGGGTGTAAGTGCAGTGTAGAAACAAATGGTTCACTGTCTCATATGTTTCCTTAGAAAGAAAACATCTTGAGCATAAGGTTATCCCTTTCTTCATCACATTGTCCTGAGTCAAAGTTGCTTCGTTGACCAATAACCAGATGAAACAGGATATTTTGTAAGGTATCCTACTTTTCCAAATTTTCTTCCATGGCCAGTTTAGATTATGATTACTAGGTTGGTCCATCATCCTGTAAGCTTTGTTAACTTCGAATACCCCTTTGTTGTTGCCACTCTACCATAATTTATCCTCCCCAATCTGAAGCCCATTAAAGGTAATTTCCCAGTCATTTAGCTACCTCCTAAAGTCAAAGTTCCACCCCTGCAGCGTCCATAGCTCTGCTATGGATCTTTGTTGGAACAAAGCTAGATTGAAAATATCTGGAAATAAAGCTTCCAAGTTGTCTTTTCATGCCATTCATCCTTCCAAAACTTGGTCTTTCTTTCATTCATCACTTTTTTTCTTTGAGTTGTTCTTCACCTCATCCCACATGTCTCTTATAGATCTCTATAAACTGGCCCCATATGGATCAGTCACCACCTTTGTCATCCTACTGTCTTCCTCTTCATATTTGGCACCAATCATCAGCTATATAAATCCTCTATATCCACCATTCAACTCTATTCACAGCTCTTCCATTTATCAAGCAACATATTGTCAGGACAAAATTAAGGGTATCTGTCTCATATTTCATTTTGAACACGGTTTCATATATCTCAAACCTATCCTAACCTTGAATGGCTAAACCAAATGTAAGTGTTATAACTAAGCTTAATAAATGCTAAGCAGTTGTATCACTTGTATGGCTTCCTTGATTTCATCGTTGCATTCTTACAGATTGTAGGACTTCTAGAAATTTCTTTCCATGTGATTTTATACCTTAATAATCATATTGTGGCATACACATTAGTGAATTTGTGGAGATCTAGTAAAATATGGCCAATCCATTTCAAGCAATCTTCTCTTATTTCATCCTCTATTATGCTACTTGAACACTTTGCGCTGTTTGAATATGTTTAATTTTGTACAAATGCACACTCCATCTTAGTACTGTATTTTTAAGCACTCATCTCGTGAATATGGTGGACTCTAGAGGCCCAACATTTGTTATCAATTCCCCAATCATCTCATGAAGCTTTGGATTAATGAGCAATTACAGCCTTCTTCCGATGAAAATAACTGGGATAATTGATCAACAGAGGTGCCTTGAAACAAAATAATTTGACAGCTTGTGTTTTGTTGGACAATATCGAGATGTTTTTAGATCATTAAAATGAAATGACAAGAAAATTCTTCAAATTTATGTATAGACAGGCAATAAACAGTACTTATCATCAATGTAAGTATGTGACAGATGACCAGGCAAGGAACTTCACTAAAAAATATAAAGCAAACCCCCCCCTCCCCCAAAGGTAGGGTGAGTGACAACTTAAAGAGTAGGGAAACTTAGGGACATGTTCAAACTGACTAGGCAGAAAAAAGTACTTTACTCTTCTTCTTCTTTTTTTGAGAAAGGGCAAGTAGAAGAGAAAATGAAGCATCCCTGATCAAAAAAATAAAAAATAAAAGAGGAGAAAATGAAGCATTTTAGTACCTTTGCCATGACAAAGAAGAATGGGCAATGATGTAGCACGGTTTACAGCCCCCTCTACCCCTTCTAATTTGCTAGTAAGAGTCCTGCCAAAATAGTAGCAGTCAACTCAAAAACATCATAAATATCTCTGAAGAGATTACAGACAAGATTGCTAGAAGTCAAACTTTGCACAGGGAAGCCAGCCACTTAATCCAACAGCTGCACTCAGATTGACAGGGTACGAGTTGCCATTCTCATACTTCCCACGGACGAAGCAAGTGGCAGAGTAAAGGGAGGTTGCTGCGCCCATGCTGAAGCCTCCGACCCCAAGTTTGACTGTAATACACAAAATAACACAGTAAAGAATTTGATTCTTTTTTATAATGAAGAATAAAAAAGAGAAATTATTAAGATCCCTTGATCATAATGGAGAAAAGGTTTGAATGTTTTTCAGATGTTACTGCTAAAACTTTATGGATGTCTAAATAACAACTAGGTAATGGGATAACTAAGGTAGAAATAAGGAAATTCATTCTTGCATAACAATCATACAACACAACAACTTCCGAGATGTTGGACATGGAATAAGAAATACAGCTAGTTGTGCAATTGATAGCCCTTAGCATGTAAATGTGTTTGACACAGCCATTGTGGTTAATACATCTAAATGGTACAGCCAAACATTTTTTAGCCCCCCCCCCCCAAAACCAAACTCACGCACACCAAGAAGGAAAGAAAAACAAAGGGAGTTTTCATATTCACAAACACCAAAATCAGAATGAGGTGCGTTAAAGTTCAACTAGTAGACATAGTCACACACTAAAAAACTCAGCAGCGTATGGAGAATAACATTTTGAAGGGAAAAAAAAAGAAGAGAAAGATGGCAAGCTAAAAATCCTTTATAGCCTGTTTGACCAAGTAGTAGACATAGTCACACCAAAATCTACTTCTTTTGAGAAGTGTTTTTTGAAAAAATATTTTTGGAGAGTAGCAATTTCTGTTTGGCTTATCAACTTGAAAGTTACTTTTGCCAAAATTAGAGAAACAATTTGTGCTTGGTCAAGGTACCAGAAGTCCTTCCCAAAAACAACTACTTTTTTCAGCTGCCATCCACTACTCAAAAGCTCTTATTGTTTTCCTAAAAGCCAGGCCACACATCTCAACTCTTTCAAATGAGATATAAAAAACACTTTTGGCTTCCCAAGAGCTTGGTCAAATGGGCTATTAGTCCGGCATCATCATATATAGCGTTTAAGTCATTGCTTTGTCGCTTAAAGTGTCGAAGTTATCCGATGCGAGGAGTAATTGCTTCATGGGTGAAGCCATGCACTTTACAGAAGTTGGTGATTCAAATATTGGTACAGAAGTTAGTATAACAGGTGAGAGAAACTTACTATGAGAGGGCTCTGTAGCCAACAAACTCGCCACATATGCTGCTGAAGCATCCAAACCTTCGTTATCGTCAATAGCATTTTCAGAAAGGTCATTGACATCAAACCCTGTTACAAAAGATGAGAAAAAATACGGTTTCTTTATTCCTGGG